TGAAGTTGACACTAATATTACGCCATCATACGGAAGAAGAAGACAATGAGGTCTTGGGGGCTATGGAACTTGCTAGGAAGAGGCTGATGACTCCCAAACTGCTCTCTTTCTAACTGGTTTCTCTCCTCATCTCCTTTCTTCCCATTGTTCATGGCACACTTCAGCTGGGATGTCCCACAAGCTCCTCAAACCTACCACAGCCAAAACTGCACCGGCATTTCTCCTGTACCCACACCCTACCTCAAACTCCTCCTTCTCCTAGAAACCTCCGCCCCGGTGGTGACTCTCCCATCCACTACATCCCTGGGCGGTATATCTTGCATTCCTTTCTCTTCCCCCTGCAACACGTGGAGCTTCTTCGGTCCTACCCATTCACATTTCTTCAATCTCCCTCCTCTTTTTCTCCTTCCTCAGCTATCCTTCTCCCTTCGGGGTCTTCTTCTTCTCCTTTCTCAGTTTTATTTTAATTAACACATAATAATTGTGCATGTTCATGGAGTGCAGTGATGTTTTCATACATATATACATTGCGTAGTGATCAAATCAGGGTAATTGACATAAGCATCACTGAAACATTTATTATTTCTCTGTGGTGGGGACGTTCAAAATCCTCTCTTCTAGCTATTTTGCAAGATACACTACGTAATTGCGAACTGCATGGCCATGTTGAACAAGAGCAGAACTTACTCCTCCTAATTGTAACATAGCTACAGTTGGAACAACCTCTCCCCATTCTCCCTCCCCAGCCTGTGGGAACCATTGTTCTACACGCTACTTCTCTAAAATCAACTTTTTTCGATTCTCCATTTCACATCTCTACCTTTATCTTCTCCCTTCACATTTATCTTCCGCACTGCCATGGGGAGGGCCCATGACCCATCTCCTGCTCAGAATCCTTCTATGATTCCCCATAGCCTACAGGATCAAGGCCAAATTCCTGATCTTAACATGCAAAGGCCCCCACAGTGGGAACTCCAACTATCTGTTAAGCTTTGCCCTTTACTTTCCTGGCCACTCCCTCTAGCCAATCTGGCCTCCTTGCTGTCCTTCCAAGGTAGCTTTCAATGCCTTGAACCCCTGTCTTTGGCATACTTCATCCCATCCCCACACTCCTCCACACCCTTGGAATACTTTCCTTCTTCCCAACCACCTATCCCAAATGTCCATCCCAAATGCCACCTCCTCGGTGAAGCCTTCCTGCCTTCTCCTGTTGAAAGTACTCTTGGCTGTTTTGAGACTGCAGCAGTGTAATATGGAGATCAAACAGACCATGAGATTTGGAGACAACACTGAGCCGTGGGACATCTGAGAAGGCCCTTTAATCACTCTGCCTCAGTGTCCTTATAAAATGCAGCCATGAATACCTCTCCTCTGGGTTGTTGTGAGGGTGGAATACAAGGCGGCAGGCAAAGGCCTTGGCACACAGTGGACAGGCCATAGGAGAGCCCATCACCTCTTCCCAGGGGCACTCCATGCCTACAGCCCTCTGGGCCACAGCACACTGCCAAGGACTGTTCGACCACCCCCGGCCCCTGAGATTTTTTCTCTCTCTTTGCTTTCTCCCAGCCCAGCACGTGACGATTCTCAGAAATCCCTGAGGGAGGGAAGTCCTGGCAGGAAACCCCCTTGCTGGACAGCCTCAGTTTGGGGCCTGATGGTAGAGATTTTCCCCAGTCTTAACAAGTGAGCCCTGCGTCCTTGTATTGTACAGGTCAAGGTGGGTTGCTTCTGGTTCCACCGAGCACTGGGGAATCCAGAAGTAACACCGACTGGCTAAGGAGGCCAAGCTCAAGCCCCCATCCTTTGCTGGCTGGAGAGGTTGTCATGACATGGTCATCTCCCCTAAGAAAGGGAACTTTGCCTGAGCAGCACTAAGATCTGGGAGCAAGGTCTGTGAGCTCTGGTCACAGAAAACCTGTTCTTAGAGGAGACCTGGACACCTTGTTCCTGGATTTATCAACTATCAGGCTTCTTAGCTCTTTCCACTGGGCCATGGGTCCAAGAACCATTATAGCATTTCTGGGTTTGAACAACCTGTACTTCCCTCTGTTCTTCCCCCAGCCTGATCAAAGCTCACCCTTGGACCTTACTTCCCCGTTTCTTTAACAGCAAGTTCAGGAGCATGGTCATGGGGGCTACAGTGCCCAGACAATCCAGCAAAACCCAGCAGGACAGAGAATAAGCATTCCTTTATATGTGAGTGGGTCATCGGTCACAACTCACATTCACTGATTCAGGGACTCTCAGAGTAGCAGTGCTAGGGCAGTTCCATCGACCTTTCTCCTTGCATTGCAGCTGGGCAGACTGAAGTCCAGAGAGGGTGAGGGACTGATTCAGATCACACAGCAAACAGCGGTGGAACCCAGACCTCCAGACTCCCCGTCCAGGGCCCTTTTTCCCACATCCAGGACTTTATCTGAGAAAGGGATGGTAACTGGTGGGAGAAGCTGGGGGTGGGGGCTGCAGGAGGCAGGGACTTGAGGGGAAAAATGTGAAACTGGAAGGTAGAGGGGAAGCAAAGGCCCCAGCACTGAGTGGCGGCCCACCCTGGAGACATCAGCCTAGCTATCACACTGCTTCCTTTACTGAGGATTAGCACAAACATCCCCCAGCTGTGGCCCTCCCTGCTGGACAGCTGCGCAGGCTTTGGGTGGCGTGTCCCAGATGCAGGAGGCCCCAGGCTGGAGGCTGGACTTTCTCTCTTGTGACGTTGTGTGCTCTGCTCTCCCGGCATCCAGAGGGCATGGGCCAGCCTCTGGCTCATCTCTGCTGTCAGGCCTGGTGAAGGACAGTCAACACTCCCGACTGATCAAAGGCACTCCCACCCTCTGGCCCCAGGAATGCCGGGGCCGAAGGGGAGTGGGAGAGCCCAGATGCCATCCTGTCATGCTTTGAAGTCACAATGCATTCTGGGATAGAACTTGCTGTGGAGTGCGACCTTTGGAACACAAACTTAACAAAAATTCCTGACATGTGTTATGATGGAGGCAGGAGAGCTGAGTCCTGACACCTCTGGCCAGACCTTTCACATCTCTGAGTCGTGGCCTTTGCAACTGGACTCTGCAGAGTACATGCCAGGCCAGCTTGCCATCCCAGGAATCTGGGACTCACTCTTTCTTCCCTCAAAGGCCAGGAGGCTAGGGTGGCCCAGAAAAAGCTTATGAGCAGGAATAGAGGTAGTCTGGCACCAAGGACAGGGTGAATGGGATAGCTGGGGTTGGGGGCTATTTATTCGTTCATTTATTCTTTCATCCATCTGTGGAGCACCTACTGCATTCCTTAGCCCAAGGACTTGGAAATTGGGCACCCTAACATGCTGCTCCACCACTCAAGGGACCTAGTAATACATTCTGAACTGGCCCTGCGCGTCAACATGCATCACCTCTGTTCTAGAGCTAAGATGGGCACACTGGTTTGTCACTTTTAGCTATCAGGGACTATATCCATTAGGGGTTTTGGTTGAATCTGAGTCCAGCTAAGCTAAACCAAAAATAGATTTACTGGAAACCTTTGGGATGGCTCACAGTCTTGTTGAGTAAGGGGGCGAACCAAACTCAGAGAAAGGGCAGGCACCCACCAAGGCAGGGAAGTACATAACAGAACCAGGGAACAGTCAGGCTTGCACACTACTTCCGGTCCAATGGATCCTGACATTGGGAATCATTTCTGAAATGCTTCTTTCCACTAGGAGTATCTGGCTGGCTGTCATGGGGGGTTGGGGAGGCAGCTCTTTGAGCTTCTGGCCTTCTCCCCTCCCTCCCTGAACTCTCTCCAACTACTACAGCCTATGCCCAAACTGATATATTTTTCTAATTGACCAAGCTCTGGCTTCTCCAAATGCCCCAGCCAGCCCTGGGCTTTCTGAACTCACTGTGTCTCCAAAAAGCTTATTTTCTGCCTCCAAGTATGTCCTTTAAGGTCACAACTAAAGGGGTCAACACAGACATCTCCCTCACTGGTCTTCATCATTTTGTGCCTGGTCCCAGCATAATTTAAAGCCCTGTGAACCAGTACATGCCATGACCTTAGGGTAAAGGTGAAACTCCCCTACCATCTGCTGATGGGGGAACACCTGCTGGAGGAATAGTACAGTCCAGACCCATGAATGCTCCCAGGAGGATCAGCCAGAGGCGAGCCAGTCTGCTGAAACCCCTGGAGGCTGAGAGGCCTGGTGCCAGCCTGTCAAGGAGCCATCCATGCAGGGGGCTGGCCGGGCTGGATGTGGGAAACACACTGAAGACTTACTGGTGCAGATCCCCCTCATAGCTATGCTACAAACCCTCCTATCAGATGCAAAGGGGATCTGCTGTTCTGCCCAAGGGCGATGTCCTACCATGGTGGGGGTAAAACTGGCCTTGGGACATTAAAGACATTACGTGACTTGCTGAAAATTACGTGGATCATAATGAGCAGAGCTGGAACTCTCCGGTCTTCAGTCAGCAACAAAGAACTCTAGCAAAGACTACATTGTAACAACTCCCCCAGATATCTTTCAGGAGCAGCCAGCTCCCCTACCCCTCAGCCTCCTGCCTCAGGCCTTAACTCCGCCTTCTGCCACAGGCCTTAACTACTTCATTGGTCACAGTGTGGCCAAGCTTTAAGAGACCTCAGAGGTCAATAGCCTAGCCGCTCCCTCACATACACATATGTGTGCACGCGCGCGCACACACACGTCCACAAAGTACAGCTGGAAAATCGAAGCTTGGAGAGGGAAAGCAGAATGCCAAAGATCAGCAAGCGAGCCGATGAGTCTAGAAGCCAGATCCCTGGACTACTCTGGTAGCCATGGCTCTGTGTACAGGCCCTGCTACATTCCTGTCTTTACCTTACAACCTAGCTGCAGCAGCTGTTCCTACCTGTCCTCTTTTCACCCCGTCCTCAAGCTTTGCATTCAGGATCTTACCTACTCTTAGAGAAGTCCCCACCCTCCACCTGAACACCCATGGATCAGCTGGTGGAAGAGCCACCCCATTTCCGGTCCACTTCCGGCCCACTTCTAGGCCACCTCTAGGCCACTTCCGGCCCACTTCCTTCTCTTTTAATAGCATGTATGAAGAAGAAGTTGTTGGTGCCAAAAAGATTCCAGAGAAATGGGTAGGCCTAGGCCAGGAAGCCCAGGCTGATAATGTGAAGAGGCAGCTCCTATCCTTCCATCAAAGCCCTGGAATCCAGAACTGCAAAGGCCCCAGGGAGGAAGTAAAAGGAAGCTAAGTTGCTAAGTGGCCTGCCCTCATCCCCCACCCCCCTGCAGATGCCTGGCTGGCTGGAGAGGAGAGTAACAGCAGAGGAATGATGATAACCATCCGTCCCATCTGGACGGCCCTTTCACACAACACTAACAGGCTTCCCTCCCCTTCTCTTGTCCCAGCCACACAAAAGACTTGGTAATTATCCCCAGGAGCCAGATGGAGGCTCAGAGAAGACAAGAAACCTGCTTGAGGTTCCACAGCTAGTCAGTAGTGGCGCTTTTTTTTTTTTTTTTTGAGACAAAATCTCACTCTTGCCCAGGCTGGAGTGCGGTGGCATGATCTCGGCTCACTGCAGCCTCTGCCTCCTGGGTTCAAGCAATTCTCTGCCTCAGCTTCCCAAGTAGCTGGGATTATAGGGACCCACCACCATGCCTGGTTAATTTTTATATTTTTAGTAGAGACGTGGTTTTGCCATCTTGCCCAGGCTGGTCTTGAACTCCTAACCTCATGATCCACCTGCCTCGGCCTCCCAAAGTGCTGGGAGTCACTGTGCCCAGCCCAGTGGTGGTATTAAGCACAATTTGCAACCTAGGATTCCATGTCCCATGCATGGAATGTCCCTTAGCTTTCACCTGGCTTACAGACCCCGGTCTTGGGCTCCTGATCTCTGCCCTAGCCAGGGAGAAAGGAGATAGGGCACCCAGGCTGGGAGGGACTATAATAGAAGAGGGTTTAGGATGGGGAGGGCACTGAGGACCAGTATGACAGAAAAAAATAAATCTAGTTCTGTCACAAGTTTACCTCATTGCCCTCGCGACTAAAGAACTGTCTTTACCTTTTCTTTTGGAGCAGATCTGCTGGAAACACATTCTCTTAGTTTTTCTTTATACGAGAATGTCTTCTGCTTCATTCCTGAGTGACATTTTCACTGGATACTGAACTCTCTGGTTGACAGTTCTTTTCTTCCAGAATTTAAAAAATACTGTGGCACTTCCTCTGGTCTCCATGGTTTCAGGCAAGAAATCCACCATCGCTCATATTCAGGTCTCTTCTGACTCTAAGGGCCTGCTTCAAAGGAGGCCAGGCAGGGTAGCAGAAAAACTCTGGAGGACTGGAAGTTGAGCCACAGTTCCACCACTTCCTATCCACGTGACACTCCACGAGTCCCATCACCATTCCCAACCCCAACTTTTACATTGCTGCTATGGGAGGGTGAGACTGGATTGTCACACTAAAGACCCTGACATTCTCTGAGTCTATGAGAATTATCCGATTCCCAGGGGTGCCACGCTCCTGGTGATGAGGAAAGAGACCATACAGACACACCCTCTGGCCATGCTTTCCTTGGGGGGCGTGGCTTGGGTCCTGTACGTTTTGCTCTCCCGGCTCATGCCTACCCTGGCCTCAACTGGCCCATTGAGGCAGAGAGGGTTCTTAGGATGTTTCAGGCATCCCAGCCCAACTCTCAAATCCTGAGCAACCAGAGGAACCCCCTCATTCACTCTCATCAGGGCCACTGCAGAACACCCCCTCAGTGGGCAGGGGGGCAATCTCCAGAATCACGCAATGTCTCTCCCCGTCCTACTCACCCTACAGCACAGTCTGGCTGCTGGGCTCTTCCAGACACTGCCATGCTCTTTTCATGCTTCCGTTTTGTTCCCTCTGCCTGGGAAATCCTTTCTCCCTCGTCTCCTTGGCAAGTTCTTACAGAAGCAATGCTAGCGCTTTACTTCACTTCTCTCTGCCTTGGTTTTCTCATCTGTAAATTAGAGATGACAATAATAATAATAATAATAATAATAATAATAATAATATCTACTCCATAAAGTCATTGGGAAGATCAAACAAGCTACTCCCTATGAAATGCTTTGAACAGTGGTTGGCCCATAGTAAATACTCAACAGACACTAGCTTATTATTACAGTTATCATTAACACTATTACAGTGTGATGGTTAAGTGCACAGACCTTAGAATCAGAATCAGACTCCCTCTGTACAAATCCCCCGTGCCACCTCAATCAAGTACTTGACCTCTATGTGCTTCAGTTTCCTCATCTTTAAAAGGCGGCTAATAATAGGCTCCACCTCATAAGGTTGTTATGAGGAGCAAATGAGACAACACTTTGCACAGAGCCTGGCACATAGTAAGCCCTCAAAAAATGCTAACCATTATGATGAGGTTGCTCGTCAACATTTCAGCTTCCTTTCCTCTTGAGAGAGAGAGGCAGTAGGTGCTCTTGGGGGACATGTCCACTGGGACTCGTGCTAGGGAGCAACACCCATGCACCCATGCCACCCTTAGACCATGTCAGGTTCCTGGTTCTGGCTTACGAGATTCCCCACTTCTGTAACTTCATGTGGCCTGTTCTCTATGCCTAAGTTGCCCTGTCCCCAGGCCCGGAAGGTCTCACTTTTGTGAGGCCTCCCGCAATTCCTGCATATTGACTGAGTTCCAGGTATCTGCAAGGCACACCCAGCAGGCCATCTGGAGCTCCATCGGTTGCTCCCCCAGGTCTGCTTGGGGTGGAGTTAGTTCTGCACTACAGCCCTTGATTCTAGCCCTGGCTCTGTCCCCTGACTTTCTATGTGACTTGGGGTCCGTGCCTTTTCCTTTCTGGGCCTCACTTCTTCATCTATAACATGAGAAGTTTGACCCAAATGGTCTTTAAGGTTTCTCCCGGATGGGTAATTCCTAGTATTACTCGCCACTATCATCACAGGGCTAAGCCAGTTCAGTGCCTGATGTTAAAAGTTTGATGGGGACTCAGGCTGAACTAAAGTGAACCACAGACAAATACCTCGACCCAGTCCCTCCAATAACTCCTGTACGTCCTGACACCCAGGCTTTAGCCATCCTTGGCTGCCCAGCTTCCTAACCTCTGCAACTCAGGGCTTGTGGACAGAGCCTAGCTGCTGCCTGAAGGCTGGGCTACTGGGGCCCCAGCAGGAATGTTCCTGGGCTTATTTTGGTCCTTTAAATTGGAAGGCTGGAGGTTCTAATTTACCACTCCCTGCCCAGAGCAGGAGCCTGGGCTGGGGTGGCCGGCCTCAGCTGCCAAGCATGAGCCCCACTCTAGACCACAACCCAACCTCAAAGCTGCCTGTGGCTGGCCCTGCATAGCAACACCACAGACAACAAAGGCTCCTTAACCCTCCTCTTCTAGCGGTGACTGTAGTGGTGGCTGCTGCTGCCTTGGGAGTCAGCAGGATGGGGCATACAATGGAGATCGGGCTGGCTAAGTCAAACACTAGGAAGGCACAGGCAGTTCCTGTGCCCACACTGGGCATCGCCCTTTGGGCATCTTGGCAGGGCCACATGGGCTGCCCCCACAGAGCTAGGCCAGATGGAAAAGTGTGGCCAATGGAAACTAAGGCCTGGGACCTAGAGGGCTATTGGGCTTTGAGGGAAGGGCCAGCTGTTTTCCATCTTCACCGGGGACTGAGGGAATAGAAACAGGCAGGAAAAACAGCAAGAAAAACTGCTGGTTTCAAAAGACTAGCCTTCTATCCTAGGCATACTGCAGAGAGGTGACTGGACCTCCAGCTGTCCCCCTTCAATCCACCCTCCACGCTGCTGTCAGAGGCACCTTGCCAGCAAAGACTTGATCGGATTATTTCTTTAATTAAAACATTTCAATGGCTCCCTATTGCCTTCAGGGGAAAATCCAGCCTTCCATTCAAGGAGCTAAGGCCCTTCACAATGTGGCCCCAGCCTACCTTTCTGCGCCACTCCCAAGGCCTCTCCTACCCCACACACCCTACAATACAGCCACTCTGGTGGCTGGCTTCCCCCCAGACCTCCCATGCTCTTTCATGCCTCCATTTTGTGCCCTCCGCCTGGGAAACCCTTTCTCCCTAGGCTCCTTAGCAAACTCTTTCTTCAGGTTGAAGCCTCAGTTCAAATATTCCCTATTCTGGTACAAAGGTAACAGTCTCTCCTCTTGTGCTTCCAGTGTTTCCGTCAGACTTTTATTCATTCAAGCGGCATGTACTGAGTACCTACTAGACAAGCATTGTTCTAGGAACCAGGGATACAGTGGCTAAAATGACAAGCCATAGACCCTACCCTCATGAAACTCCATGTGGAGGAGACATAGAGCAGATCAGTAAGCTGACAAATACATAAGATGATTTCGAATAGTGTTGTGTACAGGATGTACTGGAAAATGCTGAGTGATCTGCTTGGAGGAGGGCATCTGCAGCACCCGCTGATTTCTGTGGTGCCGACATTGCCATCATAGCTGAGCTCAAGCTGGCAGTGAGAAGTCATTGAATATTGAGTCAGGAAGAGCCAGTGAAAGCCAGCTCCAGCACACTGGTACATACTGAAAAGAAAAGAAAACCAGTTAATAGAATAGAAAGCAACTGAGGCACAGAGGTGGGGAGTGTTGCTAAATTACATTAGGTGTGGGGGTGGGGATCAGGGAAGGTCTCTCTGAAGAGGTGACGTTTTAGGGGATGGCCTGGATGACAAGAAGCCAGTTATGCAAAAATCTGGAGGAAGCTCTTGGCACTCTGGGCTTTTAAAAGTACTTTTTCTATTGAGGCATAATTTCCATACATTAAAGTGCACTAATCTTAAGTGTACTGCTCCATGAATACTTACATATATATCAGCCTCTGTAACCACCACCTAGGTTGAGATATAAACCATTTCCAGCACTCCAGAAGGCTCTTCTGTGCCTCTTCCCAATCAGTAATCCCTGCTGCTGCCCCAAGGGAAACTATTATTTTGACTTCTCTCCCTGTAGGTTGGTTCTGCCTGTTTTTGAAGTTCATATTCATTGAATTTAAATATAGCATGCCATAGTGTGTTTTTTCTTTGTGCTGTATTTCCCTCACTCAACATCACATCTGGGAGAGCCTCCCATGTTGTTACATGTGGCCGCAGTCTGTTCTTTTTCACTGCTGTGTGGTGTTCCATTATATGACGCTCTCCTGGTACCTTCCATGTTAATGATGTTTCCCAGTCTGTCTCCTCCTGGGGGCCTGAGATAGGGCAGTGTAACACAGCATGAGCAGCTATGAGCTCTGATGTGGGCCCGGCCACTGCTGAGCTTGGGGATGTGGAGTCCTCTTCTCTGTACAGGACATTCCCTTCTGT